ATTCTATTCTATTCTATTCTATTCTATTCTATTCTATTCTATTCTATTCTATTCTATTCTATTCTTATTAGCTTTTAAAGTTAGCTACGTTCAAAGAATACAAAAGTCGCTACAAGTCTGAATGTTACAGGTATTAAACTGAATTTTCAATCTGTTGGTGTGTTAGAATAAAGGATGCAGCTATAGTTAAAAGAATTTGCTTTCRGTCTCCAATATTTCTTTGCATCAGAGCTTCACAAACACCACAGGTGGTGCATCTTCTGTCTAGCTATTACCTTTGCTGCCAGACAGTGTGCACACTTTAAGAGATCTGCTCTGCGTTAGCTACCTTCTGCTTGTTATTAAAATATATTCACACACACACACAAATGCTCAGCATTTTAAGAAACAAAAAAGTAACTTTTCTCATTATAAACCAAGTGTGTTTTATCTGAATTTATTTCAAGTGAAAACTCTGTTTCATGTCCACTGATGTTCACTGAGTTGATTGGCACAAACCTTCAAGTTTATGCTCCTGAGTCATTTCCTGATTCGGGCCCACACTCCCGGTGACTCATTAGTGGTTGGGATGGTGGCACATAACAGCAGGACCATCCATCTGCAGCTGCAGGAGTTCAATCTCGCTTTGAGACGCGACTAATAAAAGGAATAACTTTATTCATTCTGAAGGAATACGCACTCTTCTTCAGGGGAGACTGAACACATAGCATCATCAAGGAAATGTGACAGAGATGAGAAAAAAATCACTCTATCTTTGTAGCTGTGTTTAAAATGTTGCATATTGGCACTTCAGAAAAATACTGTTATTTTTTTAGAGCTCCCGTCTTCATATTTACGTATAATTGGGTTTGGAGCTATAGATCGGAATTGAATTCAYGATTTGAACTCTTGTTTTTTTCTTTAGTGGAGTGACATGGCATTATTTTTATAAGATCTGAGGGACCCACAAACACCTACACAAACCTAGATTTGGTTCTGTAAGTGGACTGTTTGATTTTAGTTTAGAGACCACTGTTGACACCAATGTTGGGTGTCTGAGATTAAAGCATGAGCTGCTCCTCAGACTTTCCACCATGTGTCACATTTATGAGAAAAAGCTCATAAAACTCTCCTCACATGGATTGTCTCTTTCTTCTATTCTTTTCTTCCTCCGCCTTCTGTTTCTTACAAACATTTCTTTTCTGTTATTGTGTTTTCTGTTGATCAAACAGTCGAACCGTCTCTTGCTGGTTGAACACCCATTTGTCTCCTTCACCTCTCCTCTCTGCCTCTCCCTTCTCCCCTTGGCACAGGGTCAGCACACAGAACGCCATTCTTTCTTTTGTGTTTGTTAAAAGGAGAGGAATTGCAATCACTTCAGCAGAAGAATTGACTGTCTTTATGGAGCAAGGCTGTCAGGGGGAGGTCTGTGTGTGCACTTTGCCTTGTTGTGGGGTCCTGAAGTGGCCATGGTAACCTGTAATCATTTTCCCACAGTTTGCTGGGCTCAACATTTAAGCAGAAATAATTGGCTTTTCCCCCTAAAGTTTTATCTGTATCTGTAATTTGCTCCCCAAACAAGTTTTATATCAAATTAACAGGGCTAACCTTGTTAATTTGGATGATAATTCTGGAAAAATAAAGTGTCACACAAGTTGTAGCTTCCTATTTTTTATATAGTTGGTTTCAGAAAAGGATAAAATTTAAATTTGTTGTTACTAACAGTTCCAGAAAAAGCTGCTGGGGCACATTAAAGTTTTCAGATTTGCTTGTTTCATAAATTTAAAATAAGAGTTGGAGCATGTTAGCTTTGTCGAATTATAGAAGGGGTTGTCTTAAGATTTTAATAAGATCAGTTCCATTTTGCTGTACTTTTAGCACCAACTCTACAAATATGCATTTAGGTGTTTTGTTAATATTAAAAAAGAATTCTCTAAAATCATGTCGGAACCTCTTGCAGTTGCCTTGACACAGACGTAGCACTGGGCTGTCACGATGACAAATAAAAAGGGGGAATGGTGAAGGTGTAAGGAGGAGACAGAGGAGGGAGGCTGTGGGGAAAAAGGTGAGATGAGATGGATGTCTTTGCATTGTCAGGCAGAATTTTATTAAGTGCTCAGCAAGTGTAATAAATGACACAAAGGTTTCAGACCGTGCTGATCACGGCAGAAAGCTCGGACTGAAACAGCTTTATGTCTGCGACAATAAATAATTCAGATGTATTTTTTTAATCAGTTGATAAGATGATATAGATAACATCAGGTCTTGTAGATCCTTTTTTTTCTTAGTGGCACAAAATGTACTAAATGTGCCATTTATCAGAAAGCCCCCTCCTTCATTTTTACACCAATGTTCTCATTTTGTAACTGATATAGTGTTTTCTTTTTTCCTGAACAAACATTGTCGGTAAGGCTCAGGTTCTTCATCATAAATATAAGCTCCCTCCCACGCTAGCACCTGCTTATTATTCTCACTTGTACAACTTGCCTGTTGCACAGGAACAGAGGTATTGACTCAAGAAAAGAAACATGTTTTTRTGCTGTTAGCTAAACGGTGTGTTTGGATTTGACTGTATGGTGATGAAAAATTATTAACTATTATTTGAAAATTAGGGCTAAAATTTTAGTCTTTTTTTTTTTTCAAACAAAAATTGATGCACACTTGGCTGCAAGTAAAAGATCTAGAGCTCAGAGACAGAGATGTGTTAGGAAAGTATTTTGGTTGTGAATTGATGCTGCAGGTGTCCCCATCTGGTAATAGTTGTATGCTGATGAGGGGAAACTAAGAGAATTGAAGTTGTAATTCCAGATRTTTGATCCCATTCTTCTTCTCCCGTCCTTCCATCTTTCCCACGGTCTCTGCTTCTCCTGGTTTCCTTTATCCAGATGAGCAACAAGCGCTCCAACAGTTTCCGGAGGGCCATCCTGCAGGGCAGCAGGCAGCTGAAAGGCTGCAGTCTCAGAGATGAGGTCGGGCTGGGGCTGCCCCAGAGGTTAGTTCGCCACGTCGCCTACGAAACGTTGCCCCGCGAGGTCGACCGCAAGTGGTACTTTGACAGCTACACGTACTGCCCCCCTCCCTGGCTCATCTTGGCGATCACCATTGCTGAAGTAAGTTGTGTGTTCGTTAATCTTTTTTTTAAAACGTAAAGCTGTAACTGGTATGCAGAGACTGATTTGGATTTTGGTCGTCTTCCATCTGTTCACAAAAGTAACCGACGTTAATGTTGTTGTGATGCATACCGAACCATTATTCTTCCTAGCTGTTTGTTCTGTGCCCTGTCAGGTWGCAGTGTTCATGTATTACGGAATCCAGCTGGATCGCCTGGTCCTGCAGGTGTCCAGCCCGAACTTTTTAAAGAGCCCCCTACCTTACCACCCCCAGCTCCGAGTCCAGGCCTGGCGGTACCTCAGCTACGTTTTCATGCACACTGGGTGAGTTCAAAGCTCGCGAGTGGCTTTCTGTCTTTTGTAATCAAAAATATGTGACCCATCAAATCGAAATGACCTAATCACATCTTCAGATTCCTGAATTTAAAAACTACATTTTGATACCATTTGGATCCAGAGATAAGACTTGATTTGTCTTGTTGGTTATGGTGATACATTAATATTTGGTCTGAATTCTTATTTTATGTAATTTCAATGAGGGATTTTTGATGTCTTTATACAGTAAATAGGAAACATCAAATGGTTTTGAATATGGAGATTTCTCATTTGGGAAGAAACAAAAACTTTGCTAGCTCACAGGGAAAATCTCTAAATTATAAGGAGTTTTGCCTCAAAATCAGGGGACCAATAGCTACTAATAAAAAAAAGATTATACTTTAGACAGCTCATTCAAATGATACTTTGATAAGGCATTTATTTGTTATATTTTGACAAAATACAATTTTTGAAATGTATTCATCAAAACACTATATCTGCCTGTTTTTTCACATCCCACTTTTAGACTTAATCCTCATTTCGATATGATGGGTCACATATATTTTGTGACTTTTCACAAAACGGTTTTGGTTTAACTTTTACCATTTAAATGTTGATTTTTGTTCCATTTGTTAACATATTTTCACTTTATCTTTGGGATGATTTAGGTTTTTGTGGTTTGAAAATCTGAAACTGATGAAAAGTCATAAGTTATTTATCCAATAAACAAARAAGATAAACATGAATTAGGCAAGTAAATAATTATGTTATGCTCATAGCTGTGAGATTTCAAAGCAAATCAAGAAAAAGTGTTAATSTCCAAAAAAACTTGATTATATCTTAGATTATTGGTGCCACGTGTATACAGTTTGATGGTGCTGTCACAATAATTCACTATATTTTATATCATAATGACTAATTTGATCAATCCCACTGGATATTCTCTCCTTTTCTGTGAGAAGAGAAATGTGGTTTATATCAGTTCAGTCTGGGTCATTCAGATTTAATTACTCCTCGGGGTAATTTAGTCCCAGCAATAAAGAGAAGTAATAAAATGGTAATTTACTTCAGAGAACCTGCAGCTTCTGATGATATTCGGGCTGGCAGGGCATGCTGAAAAGATCAGGTTTAAGGCCCAGGGAGGAAAGGAGGTGTCATGATCGGTAGTTTTAAGTGTTGTGGCAGCAGTGTATGCTGGAGTTTGATGATGGAAGCGTTAAAATTATACTGTGAATGACACATGCAAAAAAAAAAAAAAAACAATCTGAGCAAAAATATAATTGAGCTTTGCAGTGTGTTTTGTGACCGTAGCTTCAGTCTCATAACATCTAAGCATCACGCAGACTCCACTGTGTCATTTTTACATTTCTGAATTGTTTGAGATTCTAAAGCAATGATTACTTCTGAGTTGTACCAGAGTGAAGTACCAGCCGTGTTTAGCTGTATTTTTGTGCTCTTGTGATAAAAATAAAATGAAATAAATGTGCTTCTGTTGAGTCCGCTCAAAGCACAGGTTGATCTAAACACAATAGGACCCCTCATGGGTATGCAGAGCTCTGCAGCCCATTCCTCACAGCCTCATTAGCAGCGGAGATAAAGATGGTGGCTGTTGTCCGAAGTGGAGTTTCCTTTGTGCCGTTGGACAGGCTTCTCCCTGCTGATCAATATGTCCTGTTGTTTCTCTCTGATCGCCGATATCATTCTCTGCAGCTGAGGAGTCTGCTTTTAGTATTTTCTTTGTTTTATCCTGTTTCTGTCTGAGGAGTTTCGTGTCTCTGTGCACATATTTGTTTGGGGAATGTTTATGTTTGTTGCTAAAATGCTTGTCAGAATGTGCTGTCAGGACGCGGCTTGTTTAGTCTGTCAAACTGCCAGTTGGTGGAGGGGAAACCGAGGACTCCTGAAMGAGTCGTCCCTGTCTGTGTTTGTTTTTGTTATGCCTTTAACATTTGCTGGATCAGGACTGACAAGAGAATTCAGCCACAGAAAGCAGGAATGGTAGAAACAGAAAAAGATCGATAAAACCTGAGAGAAAGACATTCAGATGTGTCCAGTGATTTGACACATAATTTGTGATGTTAATGCGTACCGTTCTTATATTCAACAAACTGAAACACAAACCAGGGGCTGAGTTGTGAGTTTTGAAGTTTCAATTTTTAGATATTTATGTGAGCCACTTTATGAATGATAGCTTTCTGAACAAAAGGGAATTTAACAGTGGACTAAGAGCAAGATTATCACTAAAGAAGATGCAATTCCAGCACTCAGAAGTACACAAACACCTTAAGCTGAAAAACAACTCATGTTTTTTGTTTGGTTGTTTGGTCTATGTGTGATCTACGGTTAGCATTCATAACTTCCATTACGATCTGTGCTCTTTAGTTGGCTTACACCACATTTTAGTAATAAATAAATTAGCTTAACATTAATGAATGTGAATGCGAGGATGAATGGGCGATATCTTACCAAGCTGAAACGTGACCTCTGTAATCACTCCGGTTCTTCAGAAAGCGTACTTTCCAGGTCTGACGGTAAGGTTCAGCTGTATCCTGAGTTGCAGCTTTCCAAAACCGATATTGAATAATGTTGCTGCCTTTTTATTAATATTATTTTAAAAAAGTAGGCTACGATTCTCCAGGTTGTAAACAGCATGAAGCTGTTGTGATGACATGCTTAAATGGGCTCATGGGAAGCGGTAGGAGGTTCTTAAAGAGACAGAGACCAATTTCAAGAAGTTTAGAAACAGCTGTGATGTGAAGTCAAGTTTATTTTTGATTTATACACATTTACAGCATTTTCATACCAACTGAAGGTGACATGGTTACTTWATTATGGTATAGAATTGAACTATATACCTGAGAAACACATAATATTGTCCCTTTAAAATATTTTTGTGGAGCATTTTGATCTTTGGCTTTGTCATCTTTGTGTTTTGATTTAAAGTGAGTCTTCAGATATCGTGAAAGCAGGTTTTGTGGAAATATGGAATATCTACCTGTTGTGGGCATTAACATTAGTGAAGATGATAAATAATAAATTTCCACAGAACTGCACTTCAAAAGTTCTGAACTATCCCTTTAATGCTGTGTCAATAAAAAGACTTCATCAAAGCTCAATTAGACTTAAAAATGTAAAAACCTTCAGTCAATTTTTTTGAAAAAACAACTGTGGCTAGATTTACCACTTTGACTCTAATGGTTATAATATGTGTGTTTGTGTGTATATATGTGTGCGTGTGTGTGTGTGTGTGTCACAGGATTGAACATTTGAGCTTGAACATGGCCATGCAGCTGCTGGTGGGAGTCCCTCTAGAAATGGTCCACGGCGCCCTGAGGATCGGCCTGGTCTACGTGTGTGGTGTGCTGGCAGGTGGGCCTCGTGTGATTTCTCCTCTCGCTCTCCATCCTAGTGGGACAAAACAAAACACTCACGTTTCTGTTCCGCCATTGTTCCATCTGCTTGTTTCATGTTTTTATGCATTTAGCAGCCCATCAGAATCATGTGGAAGTGTGTCTGTGTGTGGCGCGACCAGGACAGATGGCTTTGTGTCTCTGTCCTCCCGGCAGATGAGGCAGGATGTAGGGGGTTGTCAGTGCCCCATCAAGAGCCCCACACCCCMCGCCCCCAATCTTCATTTACAATAGGACCAGGCAAAGAGACACGTCAAATAAAGTTCAATCASAGAATCGCACAGTCAGAGATTATGAAAACAAGCATGGAGCCTGTAAGACAGAGAGGAGAGGTGAATTTTAAAGTTTTAAAGAGGCGAGCTCTACAAACAAAAACTTCACCAATTTAATTTCCTATAAGCTTCAGTTTATGGTGTCGTTCAGTGTTCAAATCTGTTCRGGTGATAAAATCATTTCTGGGATTGAAAACAAAAGCAGTTTTACTTTACAGGGTCAGCAATGACCAATAGAAATCGACCTCTGTGTCAGATTATTTTCAAAAACTCATCTGATGCTGCAGACCTGTAGCAGTAAACGCCGTGCTAGATAGAGGGAGGAAAAGTTTAATAACGTGATGGTAACTGTAGGTAACTGGGGATTTTATATTCATGACTATTTCTCCTTTTTCTGAATTTCTATTTGTGTGTGTGTGTGTGTGTGTGTGTGTGTGTGTGTGTGTGTGTGTGTGTGTGTGTGTGTGTGTGTGTGTG